GAAAAGCATATTTGCATATTTTGAATCAGACAAAAGCTTAATAACTAGAATCTATAGAGAATTTAAATTAATCTGCCTTAAAAAAGTCAACAATCCCATAGATCAATGGGGAAGAGATATGAACAGAACCTTCTCTCAAGAAGACAGATGAATGACTAGCAAACATATGGAAAAATGCTCATAATCCTTACTTATTAGAGAAATGTAAATCAAAACCACCCTGAGATAATCATCTAACCCCAGGGAGAATGGCCCACATCACAAAATCTCAAAACTGCACATGCTGGTATGGATGGGAAGAGAAAGAAACATTTTTACACTGTTGGTTGGACTGTAAACTAATACAACCTTTTTGGAAAGAAGTATGGAGAAAACTCAAAGAACTCAAGCTAGATCTCCTGTTTGATCCTGCAATCCCATTACTGGGCATCTATCCAGAAGGAAAAAACCTTTTATGATAAGGACACGTGCACTAGACTGTTTACTGCAGCTCAATTTATAATCTCCAAAATGTGGAAATAGTCTAAATGCCCCCCAACCCAGGAATGGATTAATAAGCTGTGGTACATGTATACCATGGAATACTATTCAGCCATTAAGAAATGGAGACTTTACAGCATTCGTATTAACCTGGATGGAAGTGGAACGCATTATTCTTAGTAAAGAATCACAAAAATGGAGAAGCATGAATCTTTTGTATTCAATTCTGATATGAGGACAATTAATGACAATTAATGACATGATGGGGGGTGGGGAAAGGGGAGAGCAGAGAGAGAGAGAAGGAGGGAGGGAGGTGGGGAAAAAGAAGAGCACAGAGAGGGAAGGAGGGAGCGGGGTGGGGTCTCAGTGTGTGACACATCTTGTACCCACAATGAATCTCCAACAATAAAAAAAAAAGGAGGCAGTGATGAGAAATAAATTTGGATATGGGGTCAGGAGCCAGATCCTAAAGACCTTGTAAGCCACATTAAGGAGATTGACAAATGGGAAGCTCCTGCAGAGATATAATCAGATGAATAACATCCATATCTGCATCTTAAAAAGAGCATTTCTTAGTTGATAATGCAAAAATAAACTAATAGACTATGTGGGCCTAAACTGAAGACAGGGAGACCAGATAAAAAGTTCTTGCAGTAATCCATAGGAGAAATGTTTATTACCTACATTAAGATCATGATATTGATACTGATGAAAATTGGATGGATTTCAGAATTATTTAGGAAGTAAAGAAATCAGAACTTGTTAACTGACTGAATGTAGGAGGTTAGAGAGAGGGAGATATTGAGAAGGATTCTCGGGGTGTTTATTTGTGTGACCAGGAAGATAGCATGCCATTTAATAACATAGGTATATAGGAGGAAAAGCAGTTATGAGTGATGTAATAGTAGTGGGGTGCAGCTGATTAATTTTAGACACATTGAATAAACTTACAGTGCATGTGAGACATCTAGGTGGGGGGGGGATACCTTAGAAGAAGCTGATATGTATATACATTCATAAGTTATTAGCACAGGGTCAAGGAGAAAATACAGAGGATACAAGTACCTAGAATATAACCTTGCAAAATTCCAATATATAAGGAATAGGCAGATGAAGCCTGGGGTAGAATGAGGGAGTTCTTTTCTCATGGCTTATATCTTTTCTATGGTATAGGAGGTGAGGTTATCTTCTGAGAGTGAGGTAAGAAGAAATAAGGCAAAAAAGGAGTAAAGGTTTGGAATATGAGGAGGCTGAGAGATAGAAACAAATATTCTGAGTAAAAGCAGTGGGCTAATGACAGAACCCCCAGATACACCAATCGTTAAGAAACAAAAAGAAGAGTAAGCCCAGAACTGGACATAAAAGTGCTTTATCTAGGATGAAGGAAATCCAAAAGTATGGCATCATAGAAGACATGAGAGTTAAGAGTTTCCAGAAAGATAAATAATAAATGGAATAGAAAGATTCACTAAGATACAGATTGAAAAATATCTTCCAAATTTGGCAATACAAAGGTCACTAGTAACTTGAGCATGAGCATATTCAGAGTAATAAGCCAAACGGCAACGGACTACAGAATAAATGGAATATAAAGAAACAAAAGCTTGAATGAAAAGGCAAAAGCTACATAGCAGTTATAGAGGGAGATGAACATGCCAGTGGACTAAAAAAAAACAATTGACAGAGCAGAAGAGTTTAAAGATTCCATTAAAGATAAAGTTTCTAAAGAAGGCTAGGGAAGAGCTCAGCATCAGAAAGAGGATTTGGCCTTGGAGAAGAAATCTTTTTTTCTGAGTCTTGTAAGATTATAGGAGCAGGGAGGTTTGGAAAATTGAAGAAGATTAGAATATTATAATGAGATTATCATGCATGAAGAAGCAGGCAAAGAATTAGGCTGAAAAAAAAGAATGGGGTTGAAAACAGAGAAGGTTTGGAATAGCAGTTGTGAAGAAAGAAAATGCTAATGATAAGAACAAGGACTAACATGAGGAACTGTGGATTTAACTTGAGTTGGAGACCATGAATTTCCAGTGTCACCACTTGGTACATTTGTGAGACTTTTTCCCCTGGAAGCTATTAGCAAGACAGGTATAGGATCAGAAATTGAGAATTATAAGACTTTTCAGGGACAATGATGTTTCAGGTGAGTGTAGTACAAGTATAGTGCATGGATGATTGAGAGATTTAATCAACCATAAGGTAAGGAAGGGAAGACTAGGAGAAAATAGAGACAAGCACAACAGGAAGGAAAAGAAAGCTAAAATAATATGAGACTATGACCAGAGAGTAGAATATTAAAATTTTAGATCTCTGAGGTAAGAGTCCTAAAGTTTGGTCCTTGGAGTGGGTTGCTAAAATGGAGATACAAGAAAAGGTCACTAGAGTTATGGATAGCCAAGAATTATTTTTTTTTTATTTTAGATTAATATGAGGGTACAATTAGGTGACATTCTTTGCATTTGTTTTTTTT